GGAGGAGGAAAAGGAGATGGAGAATAACTGATTTGTTAGGGCAGAAGTGTGCAACGTCAAACATGCATGGGATCATCTTTGATAAACATTTTAGAAATTTAGAATCATCACAAGATCTGGTAGGTAGGCTTGCTAACGTTTTTTGCTTTTCTGTCTTTCTTTGTCTGGCCATGTTCATGGTATTGTTTGCAGACCTTGGGTCATCGTTCTGGGGTATGGTGCTAGTCATTATGTCGACCGGCTATTGGTCACGGAGAATTGCAGCCATTGCTTTAGGTTTGGCTCTTCTTGTGGTGCTTTTCGTGGAGGCAAAAAATGTAAGATTCAAGTGTGTGTGTGTGTGTGTGTGTGTGTGTGTGTGTGTGTGTGTGTGTGTGTGTGTGTGTTTTGAATTTTCACCACAACAGCCCCTAATCCACCCAGATGAGTAGAACTAAAATTGAAGCAGCTTTAGTACTATTGCAGACAACGGAGCACATTTGAATTGAGACATTCCAACAATGAGACAGTTTAACCTCGATATAGCAAGTTGAAACGGTTTTCACCTTTTGCAGTAGCAGATGCAGACCCCAGGGCTCGATCCCTAGCCCTTCCTTACCGGTGTACAGTATCTGTGTCGACCCCAACGCTTGAACCCACGACCTGTGTATTTGTAACAGTTAGTAGACTGTCGTAGGGTCCGTAGGTAGCAGGGGTTCGATCTGTAGACCTGTAGAGTAGAAGTCTTAGTGAGTTCCAGAAGTCTTAGCTGTAGTCCTTCTAGAAGGTCGAGCAAGTGGGCAAGTGGTGGACCAACTGCAGTACGTTCGCAATACGATAGCGGTAGGATAGCAGTGAGTCCCCATTCAGTCAGCGGTAAGGTCCAGTCAGTCCCAGTCCGGTCCAGCAAGTACCACGAGGGACTGTGAGCACCATGGGCCGATGGCAAAGGGCAGACCAACGAGTTTCAGAAGTATAAATCAAGAGGCAGCGCCCAGCCATTCATTCATTCCTGCGTGAGCCATGCGGAAGCGCTGCCACAGCGACTTGTGCAAGGAGGTCTGCAGTGAGCCCGGAGCTGAAGTGGGCGAGAGAGAAGGAGCGTAGCATAGCGATAGGGTAGTTGCGGCCATAGCCGCCATAGCTGTAGTGAGTGTTCAGTGTGTGTGTGTGTGAGTGTTCAGAGAGACACGTGTGGGATATCCAGGGTGATCCGGGGTATGCGAACAGAGAGTTGTTTGGGCGCTGAGTCGCCATAGCCATTGAAAGTGAACTTGTATCTGGACTGTGTTTCGGCAACCATATCTCTGAGTTCTGTGTGGGCGCTTGTCGCCAGCTTGCTGTGCGCCTGTTTGCATACATGTAAAGTGTGAATGAAAGCGAGTCTGATTGCAAAGTAGCGTGGAGCACAATAAATCCGTTGAAATGCCTTTGTCAACTATGTTTACTTCAGCGTTCTTTGGGGTACCCCTTCCATTTGTTCTTGCAGCTCCCCTTTTACCATGCCTCTCACATACAAGGCTGCCCACGTTGATTGTGGTTGAGGGCCAGCTGTGTGTGTATGCATGAGTTGTCTGTGTGTGGGTGTATGCGTGCGTGGGTGCGCACTCGTGTGTGTGTGCGTGCATGTGTGTGTGTGTGTGTGTGTGTGTGTGTGTGTGTGAGAGAGAGAGAGAGAGAGAGAGAGAGA